CATTGTTAGACCAAATTCTGTATAATTTTCATCAAAATCCGACGCGAAACTCGTTTTGTGCTTTGCCAAGCTAAAATATAAAAACCATATTCCAAAAATCTCTGATCAAAACAATAGCTAATCTAGAAACGCATACTTTATCTTATCCTAACGGTAATTATCTCATGCAAGCACTCCTTTCTTTGTATTCGCATGAATAATGCTGCCATACGTGGTACGATACTGCCAGCTGTGCAAAAAAAAATAAATTTTTTATCCTGAAATCCGCGTTTTTTGCTAGCATGATTCCTTGAAACCGATTTTTGGTATATACTAGTGAGCCTCGAACTGATAGCTCTTAAATGGGTGATCAAATCGCCGTGTGTAAAACAGAGCCAACAAATCGCCACAGCCACAAACATGGTGTTTTTCCATTCGGCCTTTTATCCTTCGGGACTTGCTAATTCGCCAATAGCAACAGAAATCTAAACTGCAACGGGTCAGGCTTGCCGGTATAATCATGTGTTTTTGCACAAAACTTCAAGCAATCAACTCGTCAACTTTATGAATGGTTGTTGCTTTACATTTCGTGCACCAACACCATAAATCACCATAAATCTTGTATGAAGGAATAATTTCAGTTGAATGGTCGTTCATTGAATATGACCTGGCTGTTTATTTTCCGAGATAGCAATTTTGTTGCCAACATTTTGCGTTTCCATACGTGAGAACCAAGGGTAATTAAGAGCTAAATATGAAATCTTTCGCTCGAATCCCCACAAAATTTCAGCTTCCTAGCTTTACTTGGTTCCAAGCTGAAAGAGCACTTGGACACACACACACACACACACATACACACCCACCCACAGCACAAACACACACGCAGACATAGGTGTGACAATATGCATTTTGTGCAACCATAATATAGCGCAAAACACATAAATAGTGGCAGAAAGGAACCAAAACTGTACGTTCAAATGTATGTTGAATATAATTATATAAATTAAGGGATATACATATGTATATCATATATGTATATTAGAAGTAGCTAAGGGCATTTGTTCTAAAATAACTAAGAATATCAAGGGAGTCCAAATAATCAGCGTGGGTTTCCCAAAATCATAGGCAGATCCAAGGCGGTTTCCTGCGAGGAGGGCGAAAGATCCCTCGGTCCCCCGCCCCCCGCCCCCGGTGAATCCGTCATTGTCCATTCTGGTGATATTACTGTAATGCACCACATATTGCAATTATGCCAGGCCCTTCCATCCTGAACTAAACACAATATTATATACAGCAGAAGGATGTAAGACGTTCTTTGCGACTAAAAAATGGCAGTGGAATTCGGTAGGATTGACCCATAAGGCAGTAAATCCATGTACGGCGGCGCAAAATTCAAGACGAAGAGGGGAGGGGGAGGCTCTTTATGCATTTGCGACAAAAGTGTAGTGCAAGAAAAAAATTCCCGATTATATGGCCCCTCTCGCCTCTTCCCTTCAACATGTTCCGCAGTTATTGAAGAAGCCTCCCCCTCCCTCCTTCCTCACTCTGCCCCCCCTCCCCCACACCCTGCTATCTGCAATCTGCCGAAGTTGTGTCACCACTTTGGCGGTAAAAGACCCGAAGAGGTGCGCTGCCGT